TGAAAGTTATGTCTATACTTTTACAATGTATTCGTATTCTTTCTCATAATTCATGGTTTACGTTCCTTAAGCTGAAATATATCCATGAATAGATTTACATTCTGTAAATCTTTTTCCTTTTGTAAATGTTTGAGTAAAGCAGCATTTTATCACACGTATAGTTGAGTTCATCCATGATTTATCAGGTGTACGATAAATAAATCCCTGACTTCGACATACGGTGAATTATAGGGATACTGACGAACGCTATAAAAGTCATATCACTGAAAATAAATTTTGACTTTCGTGTAATAAAAATGAAAAATATCCTAAATTAAAAAAAAGAATAAATATAAAAAATATGAAACTAATTATAAGTAGTAGAAAAAATATTATATTTAATATCGTAGAGTATTTACCGAATCCTAAGTTGGTATCGCGCAAATACCTCTGACGAAGGAACGATATTGATTTCTTCATTTGTACTGATACATTACTACGTCTGGAAAAGTATTTATGCAATACAGTTTCTTAAATGATTCTGCAAAACTGTATTCTTTTACAAAAATAAATTATACAATCATCAAAAATACATATTATATACGTAGATAAAAATGGCAAACAAATTACTTGTGTATAAATAAATTCTTGAGAGAGGGAATCATAGAAAAAGGAATTTTGAATATGATACAATTATTTTGAGGCAGATTTTCATGATGACGTAAAATGTAAGTTAATTAATATTGATAATAATAGTGATATTAATATTAATAATAATGATATAAATTTAATAAAATACTATACCTCTTTTTCTTAAAACATACAAGAAACGAATGTCTTACCCAGTATTGTTCCAAAGAAAACCTGAACACTAAATATTATGCGATTGCCTTTATCGTTTAACTACACAATCTAACATATAAGCTTTAATTGTAGTAACCGAAAGCAGTATTGCAATACAAGGTCATGTATATCATGTTGTTATAATCGAGTATGTACTTTTAAACATTAAAAGTGAATTAAAAATAATTAATACTAGAATCACAATATAGATTGCGATGTCGTATTAATCGAAAATTCGAGATTCAATAACAAAATAAATAAAATATAAATGCTATTTATTATAAATGTTTACTAGTATAATAGTGATATAAAGCGTGCTGCACCTTTAACGATAAAGTTTATAGTAGTGTTATTAGAATTAACTTATATTTGTAACTTCTATGTGTTAACTTTTATGATATAGATACTCGTTATTTACATTTTAAAAAGCTTTTTGAATATTTTCTTTAAAATACGACTTCACAATCTGTTCAAACAATCATTATATAAAGAATAATATTGCATGCTATTAATAAAAATTGCAGGCATAATAACCGTGGAAAGAACGTGAGTTTCTGATGTAAGACACTACTTAAACCTTCTATTAATTACGAAATAATTTAATCTATTAAAAAGTAAATAGCACAATAAATTTCAAGGTAAACCTCATTTTCGTTTTAACCACAATTTCTTGTTCTTATACGAATCATTGGAAAAAAGATATATGAAACTTTTAGCAAAATTAACTTATTATTTCCATTGCAATTATTCCTCGTAATCATTAGGAACGGGCTGTAGGTTATTTACAATTGATAAATTGCAATTTTCAACAGCTTGATAATAACTGACTCTGTATATTTATGACTCTTAACTGTGCCTACACACCTTTCACGTTTCGATAAAGTCGAATCAGGTTTGCACTAGTATTGCATATTCTAATACGGTGCAATGTTACATCTATCTTTAAAATGTAATTTAAGATGTAATCCAAGAAATGCACGATTCGGTAGAAATACGTTCCATTAACACGTTTGTAAAAGCATTAACCGCAACATATTTTAAATAAATAGCTGTTTACGTGTATTGATTTTATATTTATAACTGTGTTAACAATTGTCATTTTCATTATCTTCAATAAAATAAGATTTAAAAAAAACTGAAGGTTTTTAAGAAATGCAGTACCTGAAAGATCAAAAATCAAATTAGTTTAGCATAATTAATACATGATATAATAAAAAATATTTTAATTAAACAGCCAGTATAAACATTTTTACAGTGAAAACCTATTGTCAAACTTCAAAGAGAAGTGTTAATGATTCTGTTTAACTTCTATACCTTCTAATTGTAATTAGATGAGTGACTTTATTGTGTACTGTGAAGAGAAAATACTTATAGTGTCGACGCATCATCCTGCATTGAGTAGTTTCCTCTTTTAATGCGTCACGACTTTTATCGTCGTTCCCCTGTGGTCGATGCGAACATTTTTTTTAACGAATGTTTTCCGGTTGCTTACTATTACCCTTCTTCCGATTGAATGTGTTAAAGTATCTTCTTCATCGATATTTGCTTATAAACGAGATAAAATAATAATATAAGTAATATAATATTTTTTTTAATGGATTTGTTAAAAATTTACATTATAAAAGCGATGAATTTCTTGGTAATATGTATATACATTCAAATTTTTATTCACCCTTCTGCGTACATTTCTCCAACCACGGTAACTAGACTATGTACCTTGTTTTATAGCTACTCTTCTCAGAAACAATTCGCTCCAAATTGACACGTGGAAATCATTACATTTAATGGTAAAAATATAACATTCCGATAGAAAGTCTTGAAAGTTGGACACTGATTTATTGCGTACGGTATATAGTAATAACGGAAGTTTTCAAGTAAATGTGAAAGAGATGTTTAAAATTTCACGAACGATGGAAATAAACTTGTACTTCAAATAACATTCATGATTTAAATGTAAATTGGAATATGAATAAGTACTAGGAGTTAAATATTATAACTTTTTGTACAATCTTTGCCGATGAATGTTATTATGAATTATATACATTTACTATTATATTATTTAAATATTACAATTTATAGTACATAAAATAAAAATATTTCAAATTTATGACAAATATATTTTGAATTATTCCAATACTCGAAAATTCTATTTTTAGTATATTGTATATAAATTTAGATACAAAAAAATATACAGAATTATTTTTACTTAACAATGTATCGTTTGTTGTGTTCGTCGCAGAATGGCGGACAGGAAGTAATTACTCGAAATTTTGAAATACCATATAAGTAAAAATATTTGGATATTTGCATCACAGAAGACATTTTCAAATTACTAACAGATGCCATTTGAGATATTATCAATAATTTATATAAATTTATGAATAAAATTATAAAGATTATAGTTTTTGAACTACAATAACTTTAGCCAGTTTGAATTAGTAGTTCTACTGAACCATTGTTGTCGTCACTTCCGCATTCACGGCGTTGCCAAATCGACCATTATTTCATTTGCCAAAGAAAAACTACTGCGGTGTAGTGTTGACTCGTGAGGTATTTCGTGTCAGTTAAAATAGTTGTGTTGTGCCGTGAAAAGACGAATTATGACAAATTTGATAAAAAATATGGAGCGATTGCCTTGGGCATTCGTTAAATAACACGTATTCTTGTGAATACCAGGCTGCCAATCAAGTTTCACAAGTAATACCCACCAAGCCTTTTCAACGTAATAGGTAAACTAACATTTTCAGGAATGATGAAGCGTTTCAGTATTTAAAATCAATTCGAGTTAGCGATTGAAAAACTTATATTTTTCTTATTTATTAAATCTATTTTTATTTTGCTTATCTTCGACATATTGTTTAAAAGCTATTCTTGAAATTCCATTCAATAATGTATTTATATGTACATTGTTTTCTCGTTGAAATTAAGAAAAATGCCTACATTGTCGTGTCTATATGGTTTGGCAACAGCTTGAAAAAAATTATAATGGCTCCTTTACTTTGTTCATTATATATATTATATTCACACGTGTTATTACACTTAAAACTCAAAATGAAATTGTGACATGTTTACTAATGTTATACTATTGACATGTGTTTCAAAAAATTCGATGTTGAATCTATTATTGAATAATTTGAAAATTATACATTTAATAATTGCTGAAGAAAAATATAAGTTTCTTATTTCTTTATTTCATGTTTCAGTGTCAGATTACTGTTATAATTTTTATGTTGTATTCCATTATGTCATATTTTACTAAAGTGTATTAACATATTGAATAATGTTGCAATAATCTTTTGTTTTCGTATATTAATATATGAAGAAATATGTTTGTAAAATACAAATAGAAAGTTTGACTGTTATACATAAGACTATTTCTTTTTTAATAATTTGTATTTTTTAAGATTTATTTTAATTAAATTTGATTACCTATAAACAAATATTTTGCACTGATTAATTGTATGATTATTGAATTATACTTTTAATGATTAATTGCACTATTATTATATAATTTTAGATTTATTTAAAATGTTGTATTATTCTAAGTTTATTCTTTTTAATCTTTATTCTTTTTCTTTCAATTTTTAAGGTTGTTCATCATTAAATGTTATAATTATTTTATATGTATTATTTTGTTTTTATATAATGTTTAAACCTTTCTATTAAACATATAAATTCTGACATATAAATCTATGAAATTTAAAAGGACGAATAGAAAAATTTAAACACATTAAAGAAACATTAAAGACTTTTAACATCGTTTTTTCCTTTTTTTTAAATACCTATTTTTTCATTGTAGGAAATTGTAGATATAATTATGTTAAAAAGAAGATTTTATAAATTTTAATAATGTATATTATATTTACTTGAACTAATAAAAAAAAATATATGTATATATAGAAATCTATTACATAATTTTCTGTATGGTGTATGTAAAAGATAATTCAAAATGCACAGTTTCGAATAATATATTTGAAAAAAAAAAAATTAAAAAAATTGGTTTTCATAGATATTTTATTTATTGAATAATTATCCCATTTGTTTGTTGTTCTAAAAACTCCCTAGCATACCTTACAACAAGTCCCTTATTACAGAAAATTAGCTGATGTGAATTGAACACACCTTGAAACACAGAAAATTGAAAGAGAAAAACAGTGAGAAAAAGAAAACATAGTAATATGCAGCGGATGTGGTTTATAGAGAACAAAGAGGAGGAGGAACACAAGCAGCTAGAGGTGCCACGTGAGACTAGCTTCATCGAGGTGGCGACTGAACATACATCAGACATGAGGGGATGTAAAAGGGACTGGATTTTTAGAGTCCAGGTAATTAATATCAATTTTTGTTTCTGTTTAAGGTATTATTTTGGAATCATTTTAATTCTCTGTGTAAACTTACTATTTTATTAGGTACTTAAACTAGAAAAAAGTGAAGTTCTATATGTGGTGGGTAATTTGCCTGAATTGGGTGCTTGGAATCACAACCAGGCAATTCAATTATCACAAGAACATGGCAGTCGGGATTCTCCTATACTGTTCGATAGCAATAGTAGCGCTGAATTTTATAGTGACGATGGACATGATAATGCTGGAGATAACACATTTGGTGATGTAGATGATGAGTAAGTAAACATTCCTTTTTTTAATTATTCATGATTATTTACATTATTATACTTTGCAATTACTTTACTTTAAATATAATATAATTTTGTTAATGATATCTTTTACATGTGATTAACATAGTTTATAATAGTTTATGGATTATGATAAACAGCTTGTGATTGTAATAAACATATTTCATTTAATATTACATGTATCTATAAAATCCAGTCACTATATCATTTTATAGTATATATAAATTTCAGGAATGGACAAATATTTTCACAAAAAGTTGCACTTCCCATTGATGCTGATATTGAATTCCGATATTTTGTTGCTGTCATCTGTCAATCTAATGGTACTAAAAATTCAGCCAAAACTCTCATTATACGTAGATGGGAAACTCATATGACACCACGTCTTATTAAAAATAACAGTATGTAATGAAATATAGTTAATCAGGTCAACAATAATATTCTTGTTATAGTATGTAAAGTGAAGTAAAACAATTTGTTATAGCATCTAGCAATTTTACTAGTGACACATTGCCAGATCCAGACAAATTTGGTTATTATAATGGCTATTGTAAGATTGAACGGGGATGGTTAACTGATGAAACTGTGATACAGTTTAAGCTTTTTAATAATCCAATTAAATTATGGAAAAATCGATTACAAAATAGAAAAGTTCATATTAAGGTACATTTTTAAATTATATACAGTAGTGTCCACTTTAGCACTCACATTCAAACTGAAATCTTTATATGCAAAGGTAATTCCTTCGAATTGAATTGAAAGATGGAAAGGAATTAATGGATACTAAATTTAACAAACATTTAGATGCTAAAGCAGGCGCTACTGTATTTACGAATTAATATTTAAAAATTCAGAATTAATATTTTGTTTTCCGAATTTAGGTAACACCTGTAAATCTAGTTAGGCACAATTCCTTAGAATTGCAACAATTTGGTGGTGATTGTGTAGATGATAGTCTCTCTATGGATACACAGGATATTGTTGATCAACCTGCCTTTAGTATTACAGAAATTGCGGTATGTATTATTTTATATCTTTCTATTAAATTCGATGTTCATTATATTTGTTTTTGTAATAATATATTCTTTGTTATTATTTTAGGTTATGAATGATGAAGAAGCTCACTTCAAAATACAGGAACAATTTGGTCGAGCTTACAATGAAGACGAATTTATTATCTTCAATGTTGCGGTTCGGTATCCTGAAACTATCGTAAGTAATCATATAAATTGACTCACCAAGACACCATAGTAAATACACAACTCGATGAATAACCATTGGTTGGTATTTATTGCTTGCATTCTTTGTAATTCTTATAACATTGCATTATGTACATAGGATAGATCTCCGCTTTTTATTCCGAATCAACCTTTCCGTCTTTTATATGGACAGTTGGAAACATCGAAAGCACTGTCTTCAGTAATACATATATCAGCTACTGTATAACAATACAAAAGATCAAAAAAGAAAACATGCGATGTCTTTTTTTCTATTTATCGCCCTGGCACTAATGACAAAAGTACATCTTTATTCAATGTAAATGGCAGATAAATAATGATTAAAACAAAAAAAAATAAATGAAAATTGTAAATATGGCAGAGCAATAAATTACAAACTAGTGGTAATTCGTACAAAGTTAGACACATTAAAGATACGCATTGACCATACCATGTGAGTTTTCAGTAGACCACGAGTAGGCCGGCCACGTCTTCTCTCGCGACTTGTTCAAATTACTTGGTAAAAGATAATTAAACTTGTTCAGCAGCCATTGCCCTCCTTGGAAACCAGAAGCGATGTCACGCGTACTGGCCGAAGTGAACTGAACGAAGACAACCATCAGCTTTGTACAAAGCAAGACCTCTGGTGCAAATGACGATGCTAACATGCAATCTGATGTATCGATGCTAAGCATCGTCTACCACTTTACATCTGTGTCACATGACATCACACAGAGATATGATGGTTTTGATTGTCGTTCACCCTACCGCACCTATCCTTAGGCTAGTCTCTCGTAAACCTATAAATTTGTTCGAAGTATACTGCATTATCATGGCTCAAAATACTAAATTTAATATGATAATATTTATTAATACTAACTATACATCCTATTTGTCATTTGAGATCGATTTACGCGAGTCATAGCCATCCTAAACAACCCTAAAAATTTAGAGATATCAACGCTGTCACACCTCATATCCATCTGTGTGCGTCGAAAATGGTGAGGCTCCCATCACTCCTATATCCTTTTAGTGTACTACTAATATTTTCTAGCTCTGACCAACTCTACTGTACCGTACGTGACACCGCTGTGCAGCCAATGCCAGACTAAGCTGTCAGAATCTTCTGAATCTGAATTATAAACCTTGCAGACTTGATATCGAAATTTAATAATGAATGATCGGCAGGTGTTGCGGGATACGCGTCACCAGGCAGAGTACAGCATTTGGCAATTATTGGTCTGGTTCATTGCTAGATTATGTAGGAAATAAATTATCGTCCTTTGTTTTACCATTTACTAGTAATTTGTTGCTCTTGCCTACAAATTATTTAAAACTGCCAAAGAATTGAAAAGAAAGTTTGTGGAAAAGCAAAAGATGTGCAAATGTCTCTAATGATATAGTTTAATTCCTACGGTTTTTAGTGATCAAGGATCGTTAATAATGTGCCATAAAATTTTACCACATTTATTAGAATCTTTAATTTTCTTGTTTCTCAGATTAGAAAAATTCAGAAAAAAGTTTCTTCAAACCATGTCCTTGATCATTGGACTTAATTAATGTTGAAGCAAGTTCTATAATGGATGAACAAAAAATATTGATGCAAGCATTTTGGTGTTGTTATAAATAGTAATATTTTTCTATATATATTTAGTAGGTTGTTTTTTCAGGCATACTTAGTGGACTACTACGTGTACAGCTCAAGATGTTTTCCAGGAGAACCACCAAATCATATCGGTTTCAGCTACATCTTGCCTAGCACATTACAGTCTAGTGTTGGACTTTTAACAGTACCAATTACAAGCACAAAACATAGACCAATTGGTATGATATTGTTTTTTATTTTGTCTTATTATTAAAAATTATCATAATTACTATCAATTATTTTGCTTATTTTTAGGACAACTTACGCTAGAATATGTTGTGATAAAATCAATACCTGATTATCCATGGGATATGAGCATCTCATATGCAAAACATTGGGAACAACGGTGGTCTGGCTTGGATGTTGGGCACAGAGGGTTGGGTACATCTTTTGAAACAAAAAAGTATGTTAATATTTTTAAAATCATTGCAAAGTTAGAATTTTGTAGAATTATTTCATTTGTATGAATACTAAAATTTATGTTCTAATTTGCAAACAGCTGTGCTAATGTACGTGAAAATACAGTAGCATCTTTAAAGACTGCATCGCATCATGGAGCTGATATGGTTGAATTTGATGTCCAATTGTCTAAGGACCATATACCGGTCATTTACCATGATTTCTATGTATCTATTTCATTAAAACGCAAGAAACAGATAGAAGCTATGGATATGCTGGAAATACCTGTTAAAGATCTTACATTAGAGCAACTACATTTATTAAAGGTAATTTTTTATAAACTTACATAATGCATTCTGAAGGATACATTTAAATTTAAATAATTATATTATTTTCATTGATGTCATATACATAGTTTCATATTTATACTTACAGATTTCAACATTTTCAACGTGTATTTAATGAACTTTATTTTTTTATTTTATTATAAATCTTCATAATTTGTACACATGAAGAACAATTTAAAGGTCCTTTCTACTTAAAATTGTTAATAATTAATGTCATAAGTAATACAAAATAAATAGTTAACTTCATTAACTACAAATGTATGTTAATGAAAAATCACCATGTATTTTTTTAACTGTATTATCTTTCAGAAAGTTAATAAGGTGCATCTAATATAATGCCTCATTTATCATTAACTAATAGAATACGGCTTTTCAATAATGCTACGCATATTAACAACTCGCTTTTTATGTCCTTTTTTGTATTGAAGGAGAAATCAATCACCTCAGGGGGTTGTATCGTATGTAGATACAGACATGTAATCATGAATTTATAGGTGTAACATACCTATTCGTATTTGTCTCTTTTTAATATTTAACAGGATTTTTATTACCCGGGGGACTCGTTGGGTAAGGTGCTGTATTTCGTTGATAAAGCTGAGCAGCAGGGGGTTAACCAACTGGTGAGCTTTCATACCGCTTGCACCGCCTAACTCGTCGCCAAAATGTATAACCAATTAGTTATTTAAAAAAAATTCGATGCATGCTTATTTAAAATTTATTCTAAAACCAACTAAAATTGATTTTGAAAATCACATCTGTAGGGAATAAGTGGAGGGGGCAAGTGAATGGAGTTAATTTAATAAATGAGACAACATGAGTCAATATGATGAGACCCTACAACAATGACGACTTTTACTATGCTTGACTGTCCGACTACTTTTCATTTTTGACTAACGTACATTCTTTCTTCCTCTAATACCCTGTCGTTTTCATTTTATGTAAGAATTACTTTAAAACATTAAGGCACGTCTATTCAAAACCATGGACGACCATGCATCCTCGTTCACGTGACTACTTTAAGAATTCCAAGCACTATTCTGTCACATCTCGATATCCTAATTTAATTATTTTACGTTCTCGCTTCTACCATTCTGTCAGACACTCTTCATGCGCTAGACATAAACACTATATTTTTTGTTATGGACATATAGTAGGTCTGCGATGAGGTCATAAAGTGACAATGCTGCTTTTGAGAGAAGTCATTTAACGGACCAGGACTTATATATATCTTAGGACGATTTCGGTTGGTTGGAATACGATCATAGGATTTGAGATGACATTTTCCACTCACGTCAATCTCAGCAGCAATTAACGACATCGTAGATTCTCACGTAGATTCAAACATCCGTGGGCGGTTTTCCTAAAAGGATTCTTTGTGCGACATTTCTCAAAAGCTCAAGTGTAGGAATTTTCCTTTCGGCTTGAAAGTGTCGCATAATTAGGAAGCCGATCTATGGTATGATTGGATTATCTAATGTTTCATCTTCTAAGTATTTAGAAGACTTTCCCTAAATTAGAATAATTAGAACTCGAACCATCAGACTGGCAAGAACAGAACCCGTATGTCCACCGAATTGGTCAGATTAGAACTCATACAACCACTGAACTTGCCAAATCAAAACTTGTTAAACTACCGAACTGATCAGACTAGAACACTTACTGATCAAATTAAAATTATCTATAATCTCCGGACGATTTGTAGATTCAGCTCTTTACTACTACTGATTATATCAGTAGAATATGAAGAGAACTATAAAAATTGAAATGTGCGCTTGCAGATCACTTATTTGCTACATAACAAACTCCTTAAATAAATCTGGAGTTAACAGTTTCCATACAACATCATCACAATATCGTACATTATATGCTTCGATTGAAAATTAAAAGCTTAATCTTAATTAATTTAATTGAAAAATACATTTTATCAATATAATATCATTAAACGACCTTTCTGCAAAAATGTTTGGTAAATCTTAAAGATCATTTTAAATAATCTTTCACCAGTTTCATTCTCCTCTCTCTTCGCGCATAAGCGCGTAAATCTTCATCGAAAAATGTATTCAAAAGCATTATCACGGCATGTGGATAATATCATGGAAGGCATGATATTATTTTTAATATATTCACATGACTTCAGAGTGTTTGCTTTTGTTTGGCTTCAAAAAGTCTCTTACGTCAAACATTCATACGACTTTTATAAATTTTTTTATAATCTAACAGAGTTACGTTGATGAAGTGTTTTAGTTTGCTCATCCTTTATAAAACCAATTTTTTTTATTCCCTACTCTTCAAACTGTACTTCAGGAATTAGAACAACATGTCGGATGTAATATTGAAATTAAATGGACTATGCAGTTGAAGGTAAAAATAATAAATTTTTTTGTTCACCTATTTAATATGTGTATTATTTTTTTATGAAAATTATAATATATATACACAGGACGGCACATTCGAGCTTAATCATCCTTTTGATCTCAACATGTATTTGGATATTATATTAAAAGTCGTTCTAGAATATGGAGGTGACAGGAAAATCGTTTTTTCATCGTTTAACCCAGATATTTGTGCCATGATTCGTCTTAAGCAAAATAAGTACCCAGTAGTATTTTTGACACAAGGTGTGACTTCAAAGTATCCTACTTATCATGATCCAAGATGTCAAACTGTACCAATGGCTGTTAGACATGCATTAGCAGCTGATATATTAGGAATTAATGTTCATACTGAAGATATTCTTAGGGATCCAGCACAGGTTAAATTCGTAAAGGATGCTGGTTTAATCATTTTTTGCTGGGGAGATGACAATAATGATAAAGATACGATCCAACATTTAAAGAAACTTGGTTTACATGCAGTTATTTATGACAAGTAAGTAACTTTTAAATACTTAAATTATTTTTGTATGAACAGGGGTGTATTATAATCATTTGATATGATCTGTAGAATTGATGAATACAATGCAAAAGAAGTCAAAGAAAGCATATTCCTAGTTGATGCAAGAGAAAATCAAAAGGCACTAATTGCTTTGGCACAATGTAATCAGAGTTGTCCATCACAACCTCAAATTACAAGTTCCCTAAACACGGAAAAAGTTAATAACATTTTAATATTAAAATGTTCATATTCTTAAAAATATAGGAAGAAAACAATACAATTTAATTTATTTTAGGATTACTACATGGATGTTGACAAATCACGAAATGTGATCACGACCACATCAACTACAGCCTCACTCGCATCTTTTGGTAAGAATAGTATTGGTGACGATAATATATACCCCATGTCAACTGTTAAATTACCAAATACATGTGACCATCAGGAGAGCAAAGAGATCAGTGAAATGACGAAAGATTTCAGCGTTTGTGCGAAATCCTTTGGACACTCTGTAAAAGCTAAAAATATCTCAGACTTAGTTTGTGGTCAAACGACAGCGTTACCAGAAGTCTACGGAGAGGATGAGTCTGCGAAAGACTGTCTTTGATGTTTCTTAAAGAAGCCATTTGTATCGTGGTTTTGTCATAGAGAATACTGTCTAGAAAAGGACCTACCACAAAAGGAAGGGGAAAGCCGAAGCAAATTTTTTGTAACTTATAATTTACTATGATATTTACACCAAAGGGGTTAAACAATTTTGGTTTCCCTGACAGTCCTAGGATCCATAAAATTGGATCACCTCAACGGCCATTATACGGAATGTATTTATACATCAATGCGCAAGGAAGACGATCAATTGTATTTTTCATATCATTTTATCATTCCTGCAGTTGGTCGACTTAATTGTTCATTTCATTTTATGTTTTAGAACTCTATACAATGGCCCTTTTTTGTTTCCGTTTTCTTAATGTTCATCAAGTCCGATGTTGGCTGTAGAAAAAAAAAATGCCGATTTCTGTTATTCTGCCTGTGGCAGATGAACATGGAAGTTGCAAATTTTTAGTACAAATATCCTCGATATTTTCATTTAGTTCGTAAAAAAAAGTCACCCCTCTCATATTCCTTCCTTTATTAATGAATAATTAATTTAAAGAAATGCAAATTGACAGAAACACTAACAAATATGTGACATCATGAATAAATTTTTTTCTTAATAAGTTATAAAAAGAATTAAAAAACAAAAAGATGATACGATTTATCTTTGACAGTTTTGAATGTTAACAAAAGCTGTAAAGTAACTATTTTTCGTAGATATATTTCATATTCATTTATTTATGTTTTGAAGTATTTTTAATATAATATTAAGAATTAAAAAAGAATTTCTTCGTTAAATGAAAGATCTTTGTTAAAAAAAAAAGAATACTTGTGTGCAAATATAAAATCAGTATAATTGTAAAAAAAAAAGAGTGGCGCTTTTTTCCATATTAAATAACGTGGTGATTGTTACAAATAATATTTTCATCTTTGTACATCTTGTACAAGTCATCTTAAAAAATATAAAATAGATTTTCTTTGATAAATAACGATAATTGTAAAATCTAAAAATTTTAGAAAATTATTGACTTGTTTTGTAATCAATTTTTTCTGTTCGGCTAATTATTGCCTATGTAATTTCGTAATAACTGCATCAGTAACAAAATAAATAGCACGCAAATATCTTTTCAAAGTTTTTGGAACAGAGAAGATAATTTATATCGTTATACCGCATTGGTAGTACGCTATACAATTAAAGAGAGCGATTGTATCAATCGTTAAGATTCTGGCAATATACAGAATATCTGTTGATGGTTTAAAAAAGTATACCACAGAAATATTACGGGATCATATATGCAAATGAACACATATAGTGCGTTAAGGGGGATAGTTACTGATCTTTTCTATTGTCATAGAGGCTATGCATTATAATAAACCAGTTGATGGATATAAATCGATTCAATAACTTTATAATTAAAATACATTGATAGAATTTTGCAAATTCTAACACAAATAGGTTAATGCATTACAGTCTTCAAGTGTATATTGATAAACATCATATGTATTTCAGATTTCTAATCATGTGTCTGT